TCTTGGATCGTGACCAAACCATTACCTTGGTTAAGATCTTATGAAATTAAATCAAGCTTATAAACCTATATTTATGGATCGTGTAGTGATTTGAAGTTTTTGGGTAGGGTTTGGACAAACCTTAAGTGAAAATTAAGAGATTAAGAGCAATGTGGGTAGAAATTTAAGGTCATTAGCATGTTTAAATGTTAAATGAAATTAATAGAGTGTGTTGGGAGAGTTGGTATTGTTAAAGTAAGGTTTTTGGTATAATGGGTAATCGAAGTCGTGCTAAAAGGGGTTAATTAGAGTGTAAATTGATAATTTAATATTTAATTTTATAGATTAGATATTGATCATGTATTGTTACATTCTGTGACAAAAAGGTTAAGGTAGCCGAATTGTCTAAACTCTTATTTTATGTGTTTGGATAGTTGCGTGATAGTTATTAACATTAATGCCCTTGTTTTGTATTAGTATAGTATTAATATGAAATGATTGTAATTTAAAAACTTTATGTGAAGTGGAATAGAAAATTATATTTTGAACATTGTGATCTTGAAGACTAAATTCTATATTCAAGTATAAATATTTAAGAAATTATATGGTTTATGTGGAAATAATCATTTTAGTGAAAATTATATGTTACTGTGTGGAATCATTAAGCATATGTTTGGCATGATCATTGTGAGATGGTGGGAGTTCATCCTAATATGGTGTTAGAGACATTATTTAAAAATTTCTATGATATACTGACACTATAGAGGTCCTAATGCACAATTCGATATTTATTTAGAAGTCCCAATACTATGCAAGATAGATTAAACATCGAAACTCTTAGTATTCATAGATAGGGGGAATCTGTGGTCCATAATAGGTGAAGGCACTCTTAGCGAGAGCTGCCCCTCACAATTGGTGAGTTTGGGTCAATCTAGTTACATGGATTTAATTCTATTGAATTGTCTACCCACAGATTCAGTCGAAAGATATAAGAAGAATATGTTGATCATGCATATCATTTATAGCTATATGTAAGTTTATGTAACTTGTTATACGTGTTTCAAGCATCACTTCACATATTCACTATTTGTTTTTACATATGAGTAGTTTTATTAGACTATTTGGTTATTGAATCCTTAACTCATCTCGTGGTTACATATTTCAAGTAAAGGCTCTGATAGAGATAAAGGAAATGAATGTGCTGCTGAGCATTGAGAGGACTTGTGTTTGTATAGTCCTTTATCTTTCTTTGGTTTTGTAACGAATTATTTATGTTTATGCTAACTCAGGATTATATGTCATTGTGGTCACTTGCATGAATGTTGTTGTAAACTGTGGGTATCTCGATTTAAAATATTGTAGTTGTGATGTGATGGCTGTGAAAGGTTGAGATACTAATGCAAGTGTTGTTTGAATGTTAATCATGTGTTTGTATGGCCATAAGAATGATTATTAAATGGTTGTTAGCCCTTTTTGGGTTTATGCTAGTTTTGGGGTGTAGATGGCCAAATATTGTGATTTAACATTGTAAATAAGTTATTTATAGTCTATTTGAGTTGGTTCAAATGGTTTCACAATTATTGACACTTGGTATGTGAGTTTGAACACTTTGATTGTTGTTTTAAAAAGAAAATGTACTATTTTATGTCCGGGTATCCAATTGTCAATTGGTTTAATATTTGGTTATGAAATTAATGCCAATAGCTAATTGGCTCAAAGAGTTACATATGAACGTTTGAATCATTTGAATCGGATGTCGGATAGCGAAATGACACATTCTAAAAGTTGACCCAAAGTGCTATCATGACAGGTGCTATGCCATCGGCCGTAGTGGGTGAAGCCTGCATCATGGTGGATGGCGCAAATTCTGGTATTTTTTTTAGATTGTTTTGTTGTTTTTAAGAGTTGTTAGTGGTATACATGTTTCCGTTATCTTGTGTAATTTATTTTAAACTATAATTTGAACTCAAGTGACTTTTCAAAAAAGGTTTCATTGGAATTCCAACTTATTTAACTCTTTCGTAACCCTTGTGTTATGATAACTATTTATAAGAAATTTAATTAGTCTTAGTTATCATAATGTATTCCATGTTTAGTGTTTTGTGTGTTTGATAATATCGAGATTGACGTTACATATAATTGAAAAGTTGAATTGCAAATTAGATAATAGTAGCTTATGCAATAACAACAGTTTAAGATTTATAATTAATTTTGACATGTATAAAGATATTTGGATAATTTTAAAAAAATCATGATTGATTTCGACATGTACAATAAGAATTTAGATATTTTAAGAAAAACATTATTTTAGATTTATAATTAATTTTAATATGTAACATGAGTGTTTGGACATAAACCATAGTTTTACATGATTTTCAATTATTGCAACACACCAAAAAATTTTTTTTTAAATAATTTAACTCAACCATAGTTGGGTTACAGCCACCCAACACATTTTATATCAATAATTTTAATATAAAATATTTATAATTGGTTTCAACTCACACACTATAACATTTCAGATAAATTTTTACCTCCCACATGCCATTAGACTAAATCACATTTGTCTATCCTTATACTCCCAACAAGTAAACTAAATCACATTTATCCATCCTTATACTCCCCAACAAGTAAAATAAGCAATTTAATAAATTTTCAACACAAGCCAGTTATTTGGCCTTATAATCATGCCATTTTAACCAATCCAAAGTAAACCAAATATTAAAATTACAATCATCCAAATTGTACCAAAAATAGAAATAGTTTGAAAGGCATGATTACATTTATATATTCATATAATTGACAATAAACAAAAAGCCCTAATATTGACAATATAACACATTATAAATCATAAATTAAATACCCAAAAGAGACAGTGGATCTATACCACTAAGCCTCTGGGACTCCTCCACGTGTCACTTGTGGCTCTTCTCTTGAAAATTGTTAACCACATAATGAGACTCAAAAGTCCCAGTAACCAAAACTAATTTATGATAGCGTATACAAACAGTTAAGTGTGTGCTTACTAAGTGAGAATTAAAAATAATATAATTCCAACAAATATAAGAAATATTACAATATACACAAACAACCATCCTTATATCCCTCCATTAACCTCGAGCCGTAGCCCTCACTCGGTGCTAAATTACCTGGCCAAAGGTAGATTAGCCCGAGCCCTTACAAACCACCTATTGAGCTCCAATAGAGGCGTACCACGTGGCACATAAATACAACAATAATAGCAAGTCTTCCAACACCTCCCACAATAATCAAACAAATTCATAATAATATTGCACAATTATACAATATTACAAAATTAATAATTTTATCAATAATCACCCAATTAACATGAAGTAACACTAATCACAAATTAAAAGCATGGTTACCTTGTGGCTTTTTCAATAAATTATTCCTTAAAATTTCTCTTTCACCACAATCTTCACCAGTAATACAATCTACAAATAACATATTATTTATAAATATTAGTTTCAATTTTTGAAACTAATAAAATAATTTTAATAATAGAATTAAAAATATAACATAATTCTTAATCTCAATCTTAATACAAATCTAGAGTTAATACTATTAAGTAAAATTTTTTTAACTCCTCTTTTAATTATCAATAAACATTAATAATCTAAAAATCAACTTCTAAACTAATTTCTATTATCAAAATTTTCTTTTTATTTCATAAATTCGTACCTAAAATACCTAAAAATTAAAAATTGAGTCTCTAACTTAGAATCATAATCCTATAGCCATAATAATTCATTTCTCATCCCAAATAATCATCTAAACCTCAATAAATCAACATATATTTTCAGATCTAGTTTAGAATTTGATCCATAAGTCATAAATTCAAATATCATCAACAAATTTATACTCTAGAACATTTATTATACTACTGACAACCTCAAAAACCATATTTATTTAACATAAATTTATCCCTCTTCCAGATCTTAAATTTTCTACCACTACAAACTCAGAAACCAAAGAAGAAGGATGACTAAGAAAATTTTTTAGAACACTTACTTAGTCTTGAAAAGCTTAAAATCACACCCTAAATATCCTATTAAAAACTCTTACCTTAAAACCCAGCACCGGTGAACTTGGCTCAGACGCTCTCTCTGATCGCACACGAAAGAGAAGAGAAATGAAGGAAAAATGAGAAGAGAACGGTGGTTTTTAAAAATGAATGTGAGTCCCACAATTTTTTTAATTATTTTCCTCTTTCCTCTCTCTTCTTTCTTTTATTATTATTATTATTATTATATAAATAATGATTACACGCGCACAGTCGAAAGTTTTCTTGTTCTTCTCATTTTGTTTGTTTATTTTTTTACCTTTTCTCTTTTTTTAATAATAATAATAATTTAATAATATTTTTTTATTTTTTTTAATTTTTTTAATTTTTTTAAATTTTAATTTATAATTATATCATAAGTTAGATTTAATAATCATCTCCTACTAATTTGCTTACCTCTAAATATTTTTTAAAATTTTTATTAACTCAAATTAACTATTAAAATTTAAATTGGGATGTTACAATTATACTTTACAATTTTGCTTTTAATTTTGATTAAAATCAAGCTTATCAATCAATTTTAAAAATTATTAATATATATCACAAAATATAATTAATTATGTTTAAAATCAATCATGTTAATTAATTTTTTATAATTAATTAAAAAATTATAACTTTTTTAATATATCTTTATTGAATATGATTTGTCTTATCTTTTGTTGACCACTGACTCGTTAAAAATAAAAAATATAATTACAAAACATTTAACGTTTTTTAAACTTCGAAAATGATAAATGAATGGATTGACTTTTTTTTTAAAAAAATTGCATAATGTATTGTAAGTTGTCTTGTTGTTAACAAATTTTATAATAATTAATTTTTTTGGAAGATACTTGAACGTAATTTTTTTTTTTTTCTCTTTTTTTCTAATCGCCCCAGTAAATTCTATAATGATTCTTAAGCAAAACTAACTAGCTTATAGATTTTTTTTTTGGGATTGAAGTGCTTTTCTTCAGCTCCAACGCCGACACGATTCTGGAATTGGGGAACATCGGGGCGTTCGCGAGAAGAAAAATGGAAGACGAAGACGGACAAGGTGCGCATTCCGCGGAGCAGCACACGTTGGAGGAGTCTCCTTACGAAATACTGCAAAACTGCAAGGGTTCAGCGGAGAACATCGTCGCCGAAGTGCTTTCTGTTAAGAAAGAGGGTAAACCCAAATCGCACCTCAGGGAGCTCGTCACTCAGATGTTCCTCAACTTCATCACTCTCCGTCAGGTCCCCATTCTCTATTCGTCTTGTTTTCTGCTCTTGGGATTATATCTAACTTCGCAGTTCAAATGGTTTCTGCCAATTCAAACGAACGATCCTGTGTTTGATTCGAGATAGTATCCGCTTTCCGTATGTTATTATTCATATTCGCATATTGTTGGTGATGCAGCACTTTAGCTGCCTCCACTAATCAGCTATCTTATGATCTATCTGTCTTAGTCAATCTCTACCATTCCACGTACCGAGGTTTAAGTCCAAAATTATGCACTTCATATTAAGTCAACGGCACATATATATTTCCAGGCAAATCGTTCCATCTTGCTTGAGGAAGACCGTGTTAGAATGGAAACAGAACATGCAAAGGCGCCGATAGATTTCTCAAGTCTACAGCTTCAAAACCTGATGTATGAGAAAAGCCACTATGTGAAAGCAATAAAAACTTGCAAAGACTTCAAGTCAAGATATTCTGACATTGAACTGGTAACAGAGGAAGAATTTCTTCGCGATGGCCCTGACGAGATCAAGCATTCTTTTTTGTCAAATGACAGTGCACACAATTTGATGCTTAAGAGGCTCAATTTTGAGCTATTCCAGGTAAGAATTGGAAATTATTGCAAAAGCCCGGCCGTTGCATGTGATATTCAGCTATAAGGCGGATTTATGTGTATGATAGATGTTTCATATATCAACATGCCAATGCTACACATTTTGTCTTTCTTGATATATGCTGCATCTTTACCATGTTAAAATTGGGCCTTTTTGTCTTTTTTGCCTGTGTTAATGACCTGGCTTCATCGTCCTTTCTTTAAAATGAAGAGAGTTAGATGCTATGATAGTTACTATTTTGTATCAGCGCAAGGAGCTCTGCAAACTTCACAGCAAACTAGAACAAGAAAAGAAAATCCTTTTCGATGCAATTGCAAATCGTAAAAAATTCCTGTCAATTCTCCCTTCACAGTTCAAGTCTCTTAAGAAAGCATCGTTGCCAATACAAAGTCAACTAGGAGTTCAGCAAACTAGGAAACTAAAGCATCAGAGTTCAGCAGAGTTGCTTCCGCCACCTCTTTATGTGATTTACTCACAGCTGTTGGCTCAAAAGGAAGCATTTGGGGAATCAATTGATCTGGAGATCGTAGGAAGCCTAACAGATGCTCAAACTTTTTCCCGTCATCAAGCTCACAAGGACACTGGTAAATGAGAGTTAACATTTAAATTATGGCATTCTTAGTGTGGCATCAAAATGTTATCCGGTACTGTTGCAGCTGGCTGAAGTCTATTGACGTGGGATTCTGAAACTTTCCTTTCCGTATCTTTCTAACGATTAAACCTTATACTAGACCATTACTCTGACAATACTATCTAAGACAATGATAATTGCTGAAAGAAGTTTTATGATAGGTGTAATAGTAAAAGCACCCAAACAGTGAAGGAAAGAAACTCTTATTATCGAGTGGTCAAGATTAGTTGTTCTGTTTATGTTACCTTAGTATAATATATGGTACAATTGAACGTCTTCTATTTTTTCTGTGTCCACCCCACTTGGCTTTGTAATTGCTTAGTGTCTGAGTATTGTCTGAGTATTAAGTCCTGACCCTCTTCAAATTTGACATTTACTACAATGTTCCTCTCCACATAGAATATGTAGGATTTCAGTGTAATGTGGTTTTAATGCTCAGGTATTTCCACTACCTTGGATGTTACCGAATTAAAAGATGAAGCATCTGATGACATAAAAGATGTCCAGCGACAAAGAAAACGGCCTAGGATTGTTCGAGGCAAGGAGAGTCTTTACCACTTGGACGTGTTGCAAATTCATCCACTTAAAATCAATCTCCACGTGTACGACGATGAGGTTTCTGATTTTAAGTTGGAGAAGCTCATTATTCTATCATTTGAATACTTCGTGAAGTTGAATATGGTATGTGTTGGAATTGAAGCATCTGATGATGGTCCCAAAAATGACATCTTGTGCAATTTATTCCCTGATGACACAGGTCTCGAACTCCCTCATCAGGTATGTGAACGGGATGTTTTCTCCTTCATGTCAGCGGCTCATTATTTGTATATCTGCATACTTCATTTATTCCTTCGGCTTTCTATGATGTGTCTGTGTCAAGATGATCCTTTTGATTGGTGATGCAGTCAGCCAAGCTCATTGTTGGGGATGCTATAATGTTCAATGAAAATAGAACTTCACGTCCTTATAAGTGGGCTCAACACCTGGCGGGAATTGATTTCTTGCCTGAGGTGTCTCCCATGCTTCTTGCTGAGCATGAAACTTCAGACAACGGTGAAGCAGCAAAAACCGAAGATGTTAGATCCGGTCTTTCACTATACCTACAGCAGAACCGAATACAGACAATTCTACGGAGAATACGCTCACAGAGAAAAGCTCAGTTGGCTCATCTGTGAGTCACTACCCCTGTATTTTAGGACACGAAGGATCCTCCTTGATACTTTGGATAAAATATTATATGATGAGATCAACTGAAAGTTTCGCACTTTGTTTTTGCTTTAATTTTGTTAGTGCAGCTGACTTCGTAGTTGTATAGATGGGGGTATTGATTCTGTCTCCCTCCCTTTTTAGAATTTTTGTAGCGTGTAATTCTAATTCTAATTTTTCGATCTTTCTTGTCCATTGGATATGCCTAAGATTTGTTCAGCGTCAATGGACTTTTTTACGCCAGATTGTGTCCATTCACCCCCCCTTCTCTTTTGAATCCTGTCAACCTCTTTTCTAACTTAAAAGGGTCAAATCTTTCACCAATCTTATATATGGAGTTATTTCCAGGGTGAATCGACCTCGAAGGCGCAGAAAATGCATATCCGCTAACCCCTAGGACAATTTGAATGGGAAGTTGCGATAGTCATCTCCCGGTTGAGGGGCCAGTGACTCTGGCTTAAGCTCTTCAGTATTACCCTATGGTCTTACTTGGTATGAAGAAATGAGATGGTGGGATTGGGATTGAATAATCTCACTATTTTATGTTTGATATGAAGTAATGTGCATTTCAATGCTTACCTAACATTACTTCTCTCATGGTATTGCAAAATCAATCCTAGGATTGATTTTTTCAAGGCAAAAATGCCTTCCAACCTCACCAGTTATTCTTTGCACATCTCCCTCTTTCTTGATATGCTGCTCATCGTTCTTGCTGTGCCATCATCTTAGACGTTCCTACTATGCCTCCGTTTTCATCCCATCAAATCTAGATCTTGATTGCGTCTCTGCCCCTTCAGATCTAGGTCTAGATCATGTCTCTGGCCCTTTTCGTACACATGTCTAGATTGCTTTTCCGTTCCTTCAAGTCCAGATCTAGATTGAGTCTCCAGCCCTGCTTGTGCACATATCTAGATCATGTGGCAAAAGGAGAGGCAGATACAGAGACGAAGGGGTTTCAAGTATGATGTTGTTGGCATGCTCGAATTTGTTCATTGCATATGGTGTGAGCTTCTCTATGGAGAGACGCATGGTGTTTGTTCGTGTGTTAGCTAATTAGCTTCTCAATAGAGATAGAGTAAGAGTGGGTGAGTGTGTTCATGTGTAGCTAACAGTGTTTGCTAACATGCTCAAGTCAATGAGTTTGGATAGAGTGGAAAGAAGAAGAGGATATTTGCATCCTTTTAGCAAATTTTTTGTTTAATCCCAATTTTTTTTTTAATCTTATGACACACCAAACATTATTTTAAAATTTATTTTCACTCCCAGTCCCACCTTCAATCCCATTCCCCTCCCCTTAAAATGAGCAGCTCATATCAAACAAGGCTAAAATTAGAATGTAGGTTTTTTTTTTTTTGGTGGAAATTACAGAATGCAGTTTTGAATTAGTATTACGTGTTGCGAAGTTGAAACACCCTAAGCAAGACGGTGCGATTTTCAATGCTTTGTTCTAGCGACAAAAGTCATCACAAAATTGTCTAGAAATAAAAACAAGTCAGAGTTTCAAACACACACACAAGGATGCAATACCCAAAACAGCAAGGCTGGGCCCTTTGTTAAAGAGTCCTATGAACCGAAATACAATGAAAGGTGCAAAATTTAACCCAAAAACTTGAATTTCTATGCGAATCATATTCGGCAACGAACAATACGCACAGGAGTGTTTTCCAATTATGACATGAAATTGGACGATTGCTAAAACACATTTCTTCTCCCTAACAAAAGTGTCTAAAGTATAAGCTAGATGTCAAACTTTCAAAACGCAAATCTATAACCTATTGACCCTCAATCTACAGCAGAATACGATTTTTGGAAGTATGTACATGTAGTCATGCAGTTACCCTACACCAGCATCATTTCACCATCTGCATTCTACCAAGGTCCAGTTTGGGTGCGTCGTAAGCATCTTTTCTTGACTCCTCGATGCATATTTATCATCTCCATAATCTGGGAATGGATGAAAAGTAGGCATCAATTTCTAACCAGATGCATGGAATAATTCAAAATATTAAATAGCATCCACAACTGTACAAGGGCAAATCTGATAGTGGCTAGGGTTTGTTATCAAGTTTTCTAAATGAAGATAGTCATTGGGAACTAAAAGGCTAGAATGATGGAAATTTAGGATTCTTGTGATAGTTAACGGACTTTTTACGACCCCTTGCATGCAAACCAGTAACAGTTTCCATAAGAAATAAAACCAATTTCTATCCGGGAAACAATCCCAGGCAAGACCTGGCAACCGTCGTAACTCGTAACCGGTCTAAAAACATATTCACTTGGGTTAACATGATGGGCTAAATGAAAAAACAGCTGTATTTTTTGGCCAGAATGTAATGCAGCTGCAATAACATAAATCAAGTTACAATAACCTGTTTGCAGGAAGGGATAGGGGAAAGAAAAGCTAGTTTTAGCAGTCCCTGAAACTCAATATCTAAGGAGAATAAGAATAACCGAGGGGTCATAGCCAGGCTTATGATTGACAGAAATTCGGAGGAATAGGTTTAGTCAGAATCAGTTAACGATATTAGCCTATAAATAAGAAAGAAATATTACGATCAAATGAGACAGTTAACTATTATATAGGTTTGCTTTATCTCATTTGTAGTCTTTCCCGTGTTGATGCGATTTTCCAATTTAGCATCATCATCATCATCATATGTTATCATCCAATTTAGCAACAATATAATACATAAAAGCATATATCTTACATCTATTTTATTTTATTTTTCGAATACCCTAAATGAAGATTTGAAATAGTTTCTGGGTTGCTAAATTACAAGAACGAGTCAATTCAACAGCCATCAGGGAATTACTGGACAGAAGAAATGAGAACACACACCATGAAAGAGCACAATACAAAAGCCTCCAGGTAGAGAAAAGCGTTTCCTCAGAGAAATTCACTCGTAATAAGTGGAAGCCTATATTAGGCGGGATTTCAAGCTCGTCACCATTTTCCACCAAACGAACTTTGTAAGATTCACGCTACGATGATCAAGAAAGGAACGTTAACCTACATGCGCCTATAGATAGGATCCTATATATATTCACACATACAGTTTCCCTATTCACGTCCATATATGCTAAGCTACAGTTATTGTTCATGTTTCTAGTCTCTATAAGTTTGACATATTTTGTGGCAAAACGCTCTCTTTGCCAAGTGTCTTCTTCAAATCTCCCATTGGTTGAAGTGCATATTGAGCGGCAAAACTGCTCTAGGAGTTTAAGATTGAGGATTTAGTATCTTGCATGGATAGTGTTTAAACCATGATACCCGGAACCAGAATAATTATGAAATAGGGTACAAATCTCATGGCTCAACCATAGCAAAAGTTGTCACCCCTCAACAGCAGTAAAAGTCAAACTAAACATAAAAGATGGAAAAGAACCCTGAATTGGGGCATAAAAAAGGTAAACAGGAGACCAACTTACTTGTTTTTTTCGAATCTCCATGATTTCAGCCTGCAGAGTCCAAAAAACAGTGCATCAGAAAAAGTTACAGTAACGTAGATGAACTTAGGCCATAATGAATTAGTGTGTGTACCAACATCTGTATGTAACATGCTGCAATTATAAAAATTACCTGCTTTCTCTGAAGTTCTTGGTTTTCATCTTTCAACATTTTAATTTCTTCTTCCAATTCCATGGTATACGCCTGGAAGAACAGAAAGTGGAAGACTTGGGTGAAAATGGTATCAGGAATTTTGAATCTTGATGCATTTTATAAAACTTCCATCTGCACCTTGCTCCCACATTATGTCTCCAATAAAATATCACTTAGCAGATAAAATATGCTTACTAATGCATAACTCTTTTATGAATTTTTTATGACGATGCTGTTTTATGCATTCCATCGATCAGATGTTTCAATATCTTGTAGCAACCTGGATCTTTATAACTATTCATGAATGTTAATCCCCGGAATCCTTCAACTTCCATCAAGTGAGATGGCCATCATATTACCTACTGTATAATCCTTCATGGAGTTTTGTTCTACAGTATGCCACCAGGGAATAAAAACAGAGTTAAGGGCTAGTGGAAGTATTGGTATAGCAATAAAATGAGGAAATTCTCAGCATATTCTTTTGATTGTTGAAATCATTGCCTTTTATGAATTAATTATGAGGAAATTTCTCTTATTAAGATTACATAAACTCTCTTCCCTGTTGCTAGAAGTACATAAACAGTCTGCAGCACGGGCCAGCATCTTGCGTAAGATCGGCCAATCCAGATGGCAATACTAAATAATAAGGGATGAAGAAATACACGAGTTCCTATCTTCTTTAGTATTATATCAGTCCATTAATTTCATTATAATCCAAGTTGATTGAAGATATTCTATTGGATCCAAGTATTCAGTCAGTTGAATGAGTAAATGCAGCAAACTAGATCATTAAATTTAGAATAATCCCAGTAAGTGGACAAAATTATGAAAATAAAGATGCTGGGGTCGCGGCAAGGTGATAACGCACTTAAAGAACAAACGAACCTGCTTGCGAGCCCTCGACCTAGCAGCTGATTCTCTATTCTTTATCATTCTCCTCTGCCTCCTTTCAATTACCTTCTCCACAGTTCCACTGCTCTTCCTCCCCCTGAAACAGCCATTGAATACATACGGAACTGGCGATACTGACGAAGTATCACCATTAATCTTTCCAGATTCATCGCACGACATCTGATTCGCTGGGGATCCTGTAGCTACGTGAACACCCCCATGTCCTAAACCCATACCATCGATCCCTCCACCTTGCAGTGCAGAACCTGGAACTATATTACCCTTTAGACTCTGATCAGCAAGTCCCACTATTCCACCCTTGATTCCTTGATTGCTCATTAATGGCGTTGGAGTTGTATATGCTATAGCAGGCTGCTTTGGAAGTATCTGCGGCTGCATCTGCGGCGACTGTGAATTATGCAGCTGTTGCTGATTCGATCTAATCCCGTTAACACTCAACGGCAAGTTGGTGGGCAATTGAAGAGTTAGACGATCGTTGTTATTGCCGGGATTCAGAATTCCCGCTAACCCTGCACCCTCGTTAAACTGCGGAGAACCCATCTCTAAGCCACTATGATTCCCCGTCCGAGACAAATCGGCGAAAATCCCTCCGTTTGGTTTTTCGCTTAATTGTATATCTTCCCTTACCACGCCGGCTCTGACCAAGAACTCCTCCAGGGTCACCTCTCCCAAAGTTTGCTGCCTCTGCGGTAAATTGGGGCCTCCATGACCCGTAGCAATCCCGTCCTTGGAAATATCTTTCCAGACCTCATCCACTGTCTTCTGGCTAAGTGTCCGTGGCAGTGTCAATGAGCCTTGTTTCTGCAAATGACCACCACCAGAAATACCGGTCACTGGTTGAACACTGCTCGTGGACGCCATTGCTTGCATTTCTTCAGCTGTCCAGATGTTCTTGAGTAACTCATCCATGTTCATGGACCCAAAGTCCTTTCCTGGACCTCCCATGGTACTAATGAATTCGTCGAATGTCAGAGAGTAGACGGACGGCTGTCGTATCAGGGAAAAATTCCCTGGCGGCCTTCCGCCAACGCTGTTATCCATCGCAGGGTCGTTCTTCGTATTCTTGAAGTTCATCGTGGTCTCAATCTGATGAAATCTGAATGGAGAACTATCACAAGCTGATCTAAGCTTATTATATATTACTTCAACGGGAACAAATTCAGATTCCCCTCCCCCACACTTGCAAACGAAATCAACGAAAACCGACTCACTATGGACAAAGAAATAGAGAACAAAGGGATGATGGTCTTGAGTTTACATATAATACAACAGTGAATTAAGCTTAGCTTCTTCAAACTATGAAGGAGAAGACACAATTGCAGAACACAGTGTTGAGAACCTTGTCATTTTCTTTTTCAAATATATGTCGTGAGAAGACTTCATGAAACATCCCTGTTATCAAGGTTCAACTTGAATTCAGAATCAGCCATTGTTCCAGTCTTAACAATGAAAACTAAGAATCAGAGCCAGCGAATAGAAATGCATTAAAACCCCGGGGGGAGGGGACCTTGAAGCACAAAGTAAAAACAAAATGACTGTAAAACTGAAACCTCCAGATGATCAACTTATCGTCAAAATCAGCGAAGAAATGAATAAAACTCAGACGGATAACTGTTGACTGATGAGTGATCAATTAAAAATTTATAATACAGCTCATTACTGGCGAAGGAAGGAGGAATGGCAAGAAGGAAGGACAGAAAAAGGTTAAGGAACAGAAAAGGAATCAGGGGTCAGTATATTTACCTTTTTTATTTTAATTTTCCTTTTAAAAGTTTTCCCGATTTGGTAATTTTTATTTTTCTTGAGCATTTCCGTAGAGTAGTGTCTGGTGGTTGGTGATGCTGCTTTACCCTTTGATCGCCAAGTGTCCATTGTACGATGTCGCTTCTCATGATTTTCAAGATTGAATCGGGATGCAGTGGGTTCTGCTTGTCGTAATCCTGAGTTTAATTAATACATTTGTTACTTATTAAATAATCAGTATTTTGTTACGAAGGTGAATTATATAATTGAGTGCTTGCACGATGCTGTCTTCAGAAACGCAAAACGTGGACCAATGATCAGCAGGGACTGAAGGGCCCTGATTGGGACATAACCCAATCACATTCTGCTTCCTGGGAGAATCTTAACCATTCACGTGTCTTCGTAAAGAAGGGTCAGAGATCGGTTTTGATCGTTGGCGACGAAATGAGTGGCGTGATCACATGCGGACATCCATTCAAGCCACGTGAAAAGAAACTGTGTGAAGTTTTGCTCCGCCCCATCAATGTTCAATAATTTTATTTGTTTTAACAGATACCCTAAAAGAAAAGAGAAACGAATAAAGGTCAAAAAAATAATTATAAATTAATCTGTCTGTAAAATTCACGTGATATTATAAAGTAAAAACAGATAATAACTATTATATAAGTTTAATTATTTCTTTATTCTCACAGAATCTGGCGTCACATGTTTTGCTTGTCCTCACAAATATCTTTATTAAAAAAATCATATTATAAAATGCGACTACTAGAATTCAGTACATAATAAAGAAATGGGATCCCAGTAGTGAGTCATGCTTGGATGATTGTCAAAGTTACAGTGTTATAGAAATTGTGGTGAGAAAATGTCAATGGCAAAGGACAAGAGAACAAGCACGTCAACAAATAATATATATATACACACACATATATTTTATGAGAGTAGATTCCTGTCGTTCTCACTGGGAACCGACAAAAGGGAAGGGAAAAAAGTTGTGAACTTCATCTTCCAAACAGCATTGTATTCAAAGTTAGGATCCGGAGGATGCTGATGTCTGAGTTTTATGTTTGGTGGATAGACTAGGAAGTTGGAATTAACCATCGTTGTGATCATGATATCATCACTTTTTGCTGTTTTAATTTCCGCCTGAGCATGGGCACCCCAGATGGTATGGTGAGACACTTTTGAGTGAAGCTTTGAATTTTCCCACATCCTAGTAACTCTCATTCACACCCAGATTAATTATATCAGTCATATAAAACAACTGAAAATTAATTAGCTTACGTGGAAATCATTTGGAGACAAGCTTTTACAAATGCCATGACAAAACCGTTCTCACATTACTTTGGACCAAGATCAACTTTCCAACCACACACTAAAGAGTGGCTAATGATTCCTGAATGGAGCTGATTGGAATAACATGATTCAAATATGAAGTTGAGAGCTGCAGGAAGATCCTTGTGTGAAACTGTGTGATTGCCCCACGCTTAGCTTTTGAGTGACTGTTCATGGCGACGAACAGAGATAAATGCCCTGATGATAATGATGATAATGAGGAGTGGGGGATCAGAGATGTTCCATACAAAAGTAGACACACTGTCAGTGTGCCCTGCGATGTGGAGCTATCAGAATTCACACATTGAAGTGAAAGGCGTCACTTTAGTTGGTAGATGCAGAGGGAGTCAAATAAGAATCAGACACGTAGAAGACATATCTCCCCAAATGCCAAAGTGCAATCCACATGCAACCACGAAGCTTTTAACATCTCAATCAAAATTGGCCTTTTAATTCCCCCCCCCCCCTGTCCTTCCTGGACCTGTTTTTCAGTTTTTGTTATTCTTCACTGTGGCTGTTTAACAACAGCAGTTCAGCACCTTGTTACTTTAGCGTTTGATGTTTTATTATATTCTTCTTTAAAGTTATCAAGTCTTTTTGATAATAGGGAAAAAAAGGAGCTGGTAAAAATAAGTGACATCAACTTTATACACCCTTCTACTGGTAAAATTTGAAAAAAAAAAAAAACTTTATACACCCTTCTATTTAATACATAATATTTTTATTTTTATTTGTTTAAGAGATGCTCCATAAACTAAGACTTGTCAGATTCGAATTATATCATCTTTAGTTTGTCCAGTTCTAGTCTTTCAGCAAGATACTTTGGCCACATACAATCTTTGAATTCAGTCCGTAACCCACAGGGCAATCTTTGTCAAATCGATGCATACACGTAACACGTTTGTTGGAATTTTTTTAAACTGAAGATGCCTTTTTTGAAAAGCCATGTATTTCCCCACAGAAATTTGTGCCCCCATAAATTAGAGAGCATGTCCTTGTAAATTGAAAAATAATTTTATAAAACATTGTGTAAAGAGTTATAGTTATTAGGGTCATGTATTTATAAATTTTAAAAAAATTATTAGAAAGCTACTTCTCTGATTTTATTTATAAATTACTTTTAATATATTTTATCAATATTAAGAAAGACTTTAAAATTCATTAATTCTGTCTTAAAATTTAATAAGTTCTCAACTTTGCCTCTATTAAATATACACAATTTGATAACATGTTTCTTTTCTCGAATATTCAATGAAGGATAAAAAAATTATAATAAAAATTTAATAACATGACTTATAAACATGATAAAAATTATTTTATCTCTACGTTATAAATAGGACTAGAGGATGTATAAAACTAAAATGTATCACTTGATTAAAAGGGGATGTATTTCAAGAAAATTTTACATTTTAAAAGGATATTTCTTTTCATAAAATGTTAAAAGGTATTTTTAACTAAATTTCACCCTTCAATAATATAGTTACCTACTTTCAAACTAACCTTATCTTTTCATATTTACCTCTATTAAACATTCTATAATAAATATTAAGTTATTATCAATAGAGGTACTTTTGAAACAAAAAAAAATAATGATTACATATCGAAAGACTAAAAATGTTTAATATTTTTTAACATCCAACTCCTAAAATTTTTTTTATATTTTTAAATGGAGGGAGTATTATAAATAACCCTTGATCAATATTAATTATTAAATTATGTAAGTTTATGAACCAACATGTGATATTCATAAATTAATATAAGATTATTCATGAATTAATATGAGAGTTATAAACCAATATTTGTTATAACTTTTAAAGAAATCTTTATTACTTAAAATGTCTCACTTTAAGGCACCACTTTAATATTATAAATTTCCTCCATCATTACTCATTTTGAACATAAAAAAATATTTATCTATTAAAATTTATTATCTTTATTCTTTGAATGTACTAGAGATAAAATAAAATTATTATGATTTAGGTGTGACAAATGTCATTCTCCTTTTTTCAAACCAACCTTTTTTTTTTGATTAATTGGATCAGTCCAATAGGCCCAACCTATATTTTCAATAAAATATTTACCAAAAAAATCAGAAGTTTTTTTTAATAGGTAAAAAATATTATATATTAACAATGAAGGAAAATTTAATTTTTTTATCTTTAAAGTTTTTACTCACTTAAAACTTAATCTTTCAATTATAAGTCGGTGTAACACAAACTTTAAACTTTTGACTCACATGTAAGTCAATACTTAAACTTTTTACTTTTTATAATTTCATCCTTATCATCACATGACTCAATGAGACATCCTACATGGCAAAAAAATATAAATAATACTGATAAAAAATTGCTAATATGGTTCCGCTTCAGATATGAAAGGGTCATCAACGGTGGGCGAGTAGACTCACGAAACGTGGGTATGAAAAGCAAAAGAGGTAAAGATCAAATGCTGAGGTCAAGAAGGCGATGGTTCAAGCATGGAAGATAAAGACGCCTTCTGTTATCGCGATCAAGAAAGATTTATGCGAAACTGCTTTCTTCAGCTCTGATGCCAACCAGAATAGAAAGAATTTACAATGGCGTTGTCAGCCGAATGAACTTCGAAAGCATATAACCCCCCATTATTCTTCCTACTCAGTGGGGTCTCCTTGTTCTTTCCCAGCACTCTCTTGTTTGTTGGAACGGACTGTCATGCTAACCCACTACTAACATTTTTCAATTTGTTCTTCTTTTTCCACAAGCTCTGCTTAACTATACTATATTCTTGTTCTTAGTTGCTACTCTTCTAATTAATTGAATGAATTCATTCAACCAAATTAGTGCACCTGGAAGCATTATCACTACACTATTGAATCTTGACATCTAAATTATTCAAGTTTAATGATCCAGAGGAGCATCGCACGCGAAGGCTTAATTCAACAGTTGAAAACAAAGCATCGTGATTATGGTGATGTAAAACTAAAATGAAATGAAGGGAATAATTTACCTATGGGGAGGGTAGAGGAATGAGTGTGCTATGTGTGTGTTTGAAAGAGAAAAGCAGAGAGGGTGGGAGAGGTTGAAGAAAATTGGAATCTCGTTGATGGCTCTTGATTGCGCGCTTTCATGTCCGATGCGAAGCCATATCAGCAATTTTTTTCTCAGTATCATTTATATTTTTTGATGACTCAATATTGAGTCATGATGAGAAGGATAAAATTATAAATGACAAAAAGTTTATAAATTGAGTTAGATGCGAAGTTTATTCAGAGATTAAATCACACTAAATTATAATTAAAAAATTGAGTTTTAAGTGAGTTAAAACTTTAAATTAATTTTTTCAACAATTAAACGTTAAAAAATGCATCATTTTTAACAGTAATTTAAATGTGATTGTATACTTAAAATTCTAAATTTTTTAAAAATAAAATAAAGGGTAACAACACCTCTCTCTATTTTGTTCATGTACATCTTAAAGTGAGTCATACTATTCAGTGACAAAAGAAGAGTGAGTCATTATGTTTATAGCTTATAATTTTTTTACCAAATTAGAAATCAAAAGATTACATCATATTTCTCAAGATTAAAAGCTTGTGTCAATATACCATAACTTCCTGAAAGAAAAAGTGCATGTAGTAAAAATAAGTCCCAAAAGACGTCGTCTTATCATGAATGAGGCCCCCATCAAGACCACAGTAATAATATGATGAGACATCATCGTTGAAGATTACTTCAACCTGGTGCAAAATACACTAAAGAATTATCTTCAAAATGATAGATACATCTAAAGGTATAGAATTTACCCTATATGCGCAACTGCCCGTTATCTAAGTCTCTTTTGTTGAGTTCAAGAATATTCTATTGAACATGTCAAGTAAGAAATGAGATTTGATCGTGTGATGCACTTGAGACAGCATAATAGGATGTTACTGGGGAAAAGTTCACAAACAAAACACTTGGATGTTCTCAATTCATCATATGACTATTTATGACACTAGTATTTGGATACACGCCACAACACTGACGCAAGAATAATCTTTGTAATACCATCATCTTGCAGAAGCCTCATGCAACTCACTGTAAACTATGACATAGCCAATCAGGCATTTAATTTTCATTTACACAATTTGAGCTCTACTTGAAAGCTAGAGCATGAAAAAAACTAGAAAGCAGACAATTTTATTAAGATAGTCCACTATCATGCCTAGATAATATGGCCTTGCATGATTAATGCAAATACACATGGACCATCTAAACTCCAAATGACAGCAACAATAACAACCACCCTTATCCCATCATATGAACTCTAGTTGAAATTTTTTTATTTTCTTGAAAATTGATGCAATTATAGCTTACAAAGACAGCAAGAGAGAAACTGAAAAGGGAGAACTTGGAAAAACCATAATGACGATTATTAGAGCTAGACCATACACAAACAAATAACATCGGGGAGAAACCAAAAGAAAAACTGCTATAAGAAAGTAACAAGGTCCTATATCTCAAATGACTCAACTGAAATTGTCGGAAATAAGGGAACCCGTGAGCCAAACTTGATGCCAAAATTCTCACCCAAAAAATTCCAATCAGATAAACTGAGAATTACTGTCATTTCGCTTCTTAGTTTCTCTAATGGTGGAAAGGCCAATCCAAAAGATAATATTTCTTCTTTGACGATTGTACATGGAATCCCAAAACATAAATTAAGGATAGGGTAAGACCAGATTGTTCAATCACTACAATAAACATTTGATTTTAGGCCCTTCTGCAGAGACTGCCATCAACAAGGAATGAGACACTTAAAATTCAGTATTTTTTTAATCGCGTTGAATTTAATACCTTCAAATAGCTGCTAATAGATATCAGAAATTCAGGAAATGTATTATAAAAAAAAATTGAATTCTCAACTCACAAGAATGAAATCAAGCCAAATAGTAGAGACCGAAATTACGAGGGCCTCATATAAATGTATCAGCAAGTTTACATCCAAACGCAGCACTAGATAAAACCGAATTAGCACAGGAGGAAGCATTGATTAAAGAAGAGACAGTGACAAGTAAGCTAAAAAGAACGTGAAAAAAATCTAATGCACCACTCACCCCAAAAAGTGTTAAAAAAACTTGGCCAGTGTACCATGCGAAAGATGCGAACTGCGCATAAACTATAATATTAGACTCAGTAATTTTAACGGATTATAAAATAGGAAAATAAAAAATACGAACCCTACCAAGAAAAGGTAGCCATTCTGATCTCTCCAAACGATTAGCAGAGCAATTCGCGAATGACAGGAGACCAAGGAGAGTGACGAGTTAAGACTCTAGGGGAGCTGCTCCCCTAGAGGTTGCGATCAAAGGCATTTAATTTTAAATTTTAACATCCTTTCATCTAAATATTTTTAATTTGAGGTTCTCAATTTCTTAAAACAAGTCTTAGAATTGAAAAACTTTTCGCCTCGTCCAATCTCTCCATTGAAATTATAGTCAATTAAGAAATGCACACCACTACATACATAATCTACATAGCAAAAAAAATATATATTAAAATGGAAATTATCAACAATAGAGTAGTCATTTTCCACTTTCCACCATTATGGCCATCTTTCAAATAATAAAGTACTAAAGGCTAATCCCTCCCCTGACCTGAATGATAATCTGTCACTATATTTCCATCTTCCAGCAGCGCCTTCGAATAGCATCCAATCAGCAAAAAGAACCAAGACATTGGCAACTTCAAAAATTACGCCTACGCCGCCGGAAATGTCTGAGAATGAAACTGTCCGCATATAATGGATAATTCTTTCTGATCAGACCTTTGATGCATTTCCAATATGAAAAGTCAACCATCTCCCCATCTTTTCGTACTATGAACAAACATCTAGATCTTTCAAAGTCGGGATGATATCCTATCTGCAATAGGAAAGAATGATCAGATATATTTGAGCATCAAGTCGAGATTTAAAACCAGCCACCGAAAGGTAAAAAAATAACAAACCAGGTTTCATAGTAACCCAAGAAAAAACAGATTAGACAGAATTTAACACGTATCATTAGATGTCATGGAAAATTGTGGCATACACACAAAACCAAAAACCTAAACCTTCCCAATTTACAGATTCTTTCTTAGCCCCCTCGTGTTGAAGAGTGGGGTCAGCTTATGCTAGTCCTAAAGAGATGAAGGTGACGAATTAGGGATCAGAAGCCAATAATTACAGACCAGCAGCTGGGAAAGCAGGATCCTATCATGTTACATACTTCTCAGCAGCTGTAAATACTGCCTATCGATAAGATTGAACATAGGTAGCAAATCTGACTCTCACATGGATGTCAATATTTACCACCTTGGCTCTAGACAGAAGGATGTGTTTCTTATGAGATTGATTATTGACATTGTATTCGTTTTGTTTCTAACTTTGTTTTCTTCCCTGGGGTTGTTAGGTGGGATCATTTGGTCTGCTATTTATAAAGTGCTAAGTTAGCTCAAAGCTCTATTTTCTCATATCCATTATCATTAACACTATGATTGAACATTATATTTGGCTAACTACAAGATACTTTACAAAGGCTGTTAAATCAACAAATACAAACATGTCTATTGTCTGAGCTTATAACTACCAGGGGATGAGGTTGGTTTTGGGCAAGAGGTAGACTATATTTGGCCAATTACAAGAGACTTTACAAGACGATAATAAATGCTTAAACATTTTTTGCGTATCTAAAAAAGAAAGGGAGTCAAAAGAGTGATGAGTGAGAAAGCTAGAGAGAGTGGGTCTACTAGGGCTAGTGTCTCAGCTTCGGCTACCAACTTGTTGGGTGGAAATGATGGTGTTCAATCATTTGAGGAGGAAGACGTGTTAGAGAGGAGTACCAAAAAACTGGACAATGACATTCCCATACAAGGTGTAAATGAAGATAACAGCATGCATATGAAGTAGTCAGCCCCCCTATCGCCGAACAAAAGACCACCAGTATTGATGAAGGGCTAAAACAATTGTCGTATAAGGCAAAACTACTAGGCAAAAGTAACATGAGAGAGTTAGAACAAGACTTTGAAAAATGATTTCAGGAATGGCTTTTGGAAGAGGACCAAATTGCACCTAAATGGTCAGATGAACAACAAAAAATAATGGATGCCTTGTCGAGTCTAGAGATGCTAGATGAGTGACTAAAGGAGCTCTGTAAACCATGGTGGGATTCTTTAATCATTACTCCATTAGGAAAGAGAATGCATCTAGCTGACTTGAAAAACAAATGGCAACAAATGTGGGGTACTTTTGACTTTGAACTGATAGATTTTGAGAACAATTATTTCACTTTTAGGACTGATAATATGGAGCTCTACCGTGGGTTATCTCAGGCCATTGTTTAGCTGTCCAACGTTGGAGTCCTAACTTTAACCCGTTCACAAACCAGCTGAAAAAACTTGCCTTATGGGTTAGGATCCTTGTGCTGCCAATGCATTGTTATAATGAAGACTTCATCCAAGAAATAGGTAACATGGCTGGCAAAGTTCTCAAGGTTGATATGACCACGCTTGCCTAGGTGAACCAACGCAGTATGGTGGAAAGGGGGAGATATGCTAGAGTGAGTGTTGAAGTTGATCTCACAAAACCTCTACCCTCTTGGATTGAGATCAGAAAGAAGATTTACACTCTAATATATGAGGGGATAAACACCATATGTTTCAACTGTGGTAGGATTGGGCATAAAAGTGAAGAATCCCTTGATAAGGGTGGTCAGGAAAAAAACCAAAGGAAGAGAAGGCCTCAAACAGTGGTTTGAACGAACACAAAGCAACAACGCCAAGAACTCTGGTGAATGCAAAAGATATTCCATTAGATGTATGGTATGGTGAATGGATGCTGGAAAAACGTCCTTTTCGCTCGAGAAACCTGAGACTTGAGCCAATCAACATCAAACCAGGTTTGCACATTGGTCAAAGGGGATTTACAAAGGGAGGGATGAATGCCAATACCTCATCCAGATTTTTTGTTTTGACAGAAGATTTGGAAGCAGAACCGATGCAAGAAAAGGAGAAAACTTACGCCAAAAAGCCACCAAACCAAGTTTGGAGAAAGAAAGAAATTGAGGAGAAGAAAGATGCTAGTGAAAACAATAGAGATGAACAGATTTTGAGGCCTGAGACTGGCCATTGAGCCAAGAAAAAGCTAAAATGTCAAATCCAAGTCAAAATGAGCTTCATACAGTTGAGTTAAACAAGGCCGCCAAAGTAGACGCAGAAAAAATATTTTCCTTTAAGGCTGAGGCCTGTAAAGGAAAAGAACCAAGGAAGGGCAAAGCACATAACAAAAGTAAAAAATATGGATCTGAGTCTGGTGAAGACAAAATAGTAGAAATTGGGATCAAAAGAAACAAATCCACCAAGCCCAAAATTCTATCACCAGCGTTGAAAAGAGGAAGCTTTTTAATAGAGTCCATAATGTGACCATGGATGATGTGACTTTCAAAAGGCCCCTTTTTCTTGACCAAGTGACTCATTCGGATGATCATAATACTAAATCTTCATTTCCCCCAGTTGCCCATTAATGCTACGTCACCCATCAATTCCACAATTAAGGATATCCCAATTTCAGTGGAGGGGAGGGGGAACTATTCTGCTCATACCTATGATCCCCCTTTGCATTCGAATGATGAGAAAATCTTACAACTTAGTGAAAGCGAAGAAACAGATCCTCAAGAACATTTCTACGAATTGGAAGGAGATGAGAAAGATATTGATTTGGAGGTAGTGCTTGAAACGCCTTCAATAGCTCTGGTCTAAGCTCCAAGTTTATGCTTCCACTTTTCCTTTGTGTGTGTGTGTGTTTTTTTTTTTTTTTTAAATGAAAATAGCAGTGTGGAATTGTCGAGGTGCAGCCTCAAAAACATTTCCCTTTTGTGTTCATGATCTTCTGCAACTCCGCCTATGTTTATAGCCGGTCCCAAGCCCGGGTAAAGGAGGAGGGTTGTGTTAGGCCATCAACAGCCAATGTAAAAATTTGTTGAATCTATCATGAACATGGACAATAGACGTTATAATGTTAATGCTAGGTCGTTGCCCGTAAGTAACGCGCTGCATGGCTCGAGTACAGTGATAAGTGAGTTAGAGCCGCTGCATCGGCGCCCGGATGTAGTGTTAAATGAGCAAGGGCTACCGCGTCATTCTGGACGCACGCGGCTAAAGAAGTTAGTCCATAAGAGCAAAATTAGATTTGGTACTTGGAATGTTGGGACATTAAATTGTAAATCTGTAGAGGTTGTAGGGGTTATGATTCAAAGGAAAATCAATATCCTTTGCTTGCAAGAAACAAAATGGCGTGGAGAAGGAGCTAAGGATATTCAAGGTTTCAAACTTTGGTATACAGGAAAAGTAAGTGCACGCAATGGAGTAGGCATCATTATAGATAAGGAGTGGAAGAAGAACGTTGTAGAAGTTAGCAGAATTGGAGACAGAATTATTTCTTTAAAAATGATAATTGGACGTGAGACTGTTAATATTGTTAGCGCTTATGCGCCGCAAGTCGGGACAGAAGCCAGTCTTAAGGAATTATTTTGGGAGGATCTGGAGGGGTTGATTCGACACATACCACAGAGTGAAAAGATTTTTATTGGAGGAGACTTTAATGGGCATGTCGGGAGGGAAGCTGGTCAGTATGCGAGGGTGCATGGTGGTTTTGGTTTTGGAGAGCTAAACAATGAAGGGCAAACTCTTCTTGATTTCTCATTGGCGTATGATTTTAAGATTGCCAACACTTGTTTCAAGAAGAGAGATGAGCATCTCATCACTTACAAAAGTGGAGCCTCAAGGTCGCAGATTGATTTTCTTTTGGTTAGGAACACAGATAGAAAACTTTGTAAAAATTGTAAGGTGATCCCTGGAGATGCTGTAACGACACAACATAGGGTCCTAGTCCTTGATGTGTGTATTATGAGTAAAATCCAAAAACGTCGACAAGTAGTAACACCAAAGATTAGGTGGTGGCAATTAAAAGGTGAGAAGCAAGATATTTTCAAGCGAAATCTTTTGGATAAAGGAATTTGGGATTCTCAGGGAAGTGCTAACATCATATGGGAGGATATGGCTAAAAAGATACGGGAGGTTGCAAAAGTAGTTTTGGGAGAATCGAAAGGTTCTGGTCCGAGAGATAAGGAGTCTTGGTGGTGGAATAATAGTCTACAGGACAAAATCAAGTATAAGAAGAACTGTTTTAAAGCCATACATTTGTGTAACAATGAGGAAAATTGGGAGAGGTACCGTATGGCTAAGAAGGAAACTAAGAGAGCTGTGGGTGAAGCTCGTTCCAAAGCTTTTGAAGAATTTTATAAGAACCTTGAGACGAAGGAAGGAGAGCAAAATATTTATAAGATTGCCAAGAGTAGGGAAAGAAAATCAAGAGATCTAGAACAGGTAAGGTGTATTAAGGATGAAGAGGGAAGAATTTTAGTTACAGATGATGAAATTAAAAATAGATGGGAGACTTATTTTTCTAAACTTTTCAATGATGGAGAGGATTCATCTAGTAACTTGGAGGATTTAGTAACTGGTGTAGGAGAACAAAATTTGTCATTCTATCGAAAAATACGTGATAAGGAGGTAAAGGAAGCTCTTAAGAAAATGGCAAATGGTAGAGCTAACGGACCTGATTGTATATCTATCGAAGCGTGGAAATGTTTAGGTGAAGAAGGGGTGAGATGGTTAACTAAATTATTTAATGTGATTTTACGATCCAAGAAAATGCCTGATGAGTGGAGGAGAAGTACATTAATTCCTATTTATAAAAATAAAGGAGATATTCAGAATTGTACTAACTATAGAGGGATTAAACTCATGAGCCACACAATGAAATTGTGGGAGAAAGTAATTGAGCACAGGTTGAGATTGGAGACAAGTATTTCTGAGAATCAATTTG